CTGCTGTGTTGGGATGGAGGTTCATCCATTAAGGATCTGGTCCTGCGTCTTGGTCCTGTATGACTCAGTATGAGACACCCATCTAGAAAACGAGATAGCAGTGCTTGCTTGTCCTTTCTGAGGAGAAGTAGAAATTCAATACCTAAAATGCTTCCGTTTCAGTAGGGGCAATCCTTTAAATAGCACTACTTCAGTAGTGCAGAAAATGGAAATGTCAGTAAAGTGTACAAATATTAAATGTGCTGAAAGGACTTTGATAACTGTATTCCACATRCCTAATAGACTCTACACAAACTTCTGAAACCTTGTAGAAAAGAACATATCAAGAAATGACATTTTTGCCTTTTTTTTTTTTTTTTCCTCTTCTCTTCTCACTGCGGCTAAAAGGGGGATTGACTCCGGCAGCAAGTTTATTAGTTTCTTGTCCCAGACAAACCTGAACTCTGCTGAATACCATAAATATATAGATTAAATTCTTCTACTGGAAAGCCCAGTGCTATATAGACTGGACTCCAGTGCTGAGATAGCATACTTGACAGCAACATCAGGTAATTTCTTGAAAACTTTTTTGGAAACAAACCCCTTTGTTTGCAGGAGTAAGATCAGGTAAATCTGCAAAAGGAAAGTGTCTTCATCTTCTGCCTTATCATTACTCTTAATGACACTTTAAGCATATACCTTACTCTATTATTTCAACAAGCGATTTCATTTCTCAAAAAAAGATGGACCAAATTAACAAAAATCAGTTGAGTGTTAATATTAGTGATGAATGATGACCTAAGTGTGTACCGTACCGCACTAAGGAAGAATTTGAACCAAAACAAAAGATTGGCAGAGTGTTTAACTTGTTACAGAGTCCATTTCTTTTCACTATGAATTTAGTATGAGGTGGGAAACAAAGAATGAATCTATTTTTCTGTTTTTTTTTTTTAAGCCACAAAAAAAAAATCTTACAAAATCTGTACTATCTTACAAAACAAATGCTAAGATTTGCCAGGTCAGTGACTTCTGTGCTTTGCTCCAGCCTGTTGTGTGAGAAACCCCTTGTGTGTGGCCTCCCTGCTCCATCCTGCTCTGGCGGCGCAGGAAGGCGCTCCAAGCCTGCACTCCTGGTTTGTTTCTGTCCCGTTTTCCAGGCAGTGACACGCAGGCTGTTCATGCCAGAAAGAGCAGCCAAGTAGAGTGTTTTTCAGCCTCTCCCATTCCTTGGCTCTTCATCCAAACAGGAACCTTGTGGCTTGCTCTGAGCCTCCTGGAGACTTCTCTTTGCTAGCAAGGGCTATGGAAGAGACCTTCAGGGTATTCTATTTTTGTGGCAGTCTGAAGAGTAAAAATCTGGATGATGAGGATATCTGTACCTCTTTTGCACCAAATCTGTAGTTTTACTAGTACAGTGGCATTTACCTCTTGGAGGCCTTAATTCATGAAACCATATTAAGCTATTGGATGCTGCGTAGAAGGAAGCAGTAATACAACCACTATGACTTAATATGGCAAGTGAAACACTATTTTTGTTCACAGTCAAGATAGCTCAGATAATAAAATCTTAGTACAACTGATTTCAGAAAAAAAATATAGAAACACTGGATTTTAAGTGTGGAACATTAATGTTTATGCTAAATACTTAGCTCAAAGAAAGGATAAGCAGGTTACATCTGAAGTCAAGAGACTCTCCAAATGAACTCRTTTTGTAGTCCTCACTTGATCCTAGGTACAGTAGGATGAGTAAAACCATCTTGCAAAAGAATATTGTGTGAATTTACCATGTTATGCCATTCTGTCTGTGCATACTGAAGCAAAAGCACTGTGTTGCTGTGCTTGGCTACCTGGAGACTACTGTAATCTATACTGTGAGAAATGTAATTGCTACGAGATCCTAATCATACTTAAATCATAAGAAACTACCATCATTCATTCAATTTTATCCTGTAAGAGGACTCTGAAGTCTCATTGCGGAGATGGTTGTAGTCATCACAGAGACATGTGAGATCCAGACTTACTTGCTGTTTCAGTGACCTGGGGTTTAGACTTCAGCTTCTAGTTTTCCTCATCCCTACCAGAGCTCTATGAAGTTTCACTTCCTTGTTTCCTATCTCTTTCCTGCTCCTCTTTTTCACTCCGGACACTCTTTTATTTCCTCTTATCATGTTGAGATCATGGAGGTTTCGCAGAGAGGAATATGACAGCTCCCAATGCAAGCAGAGAAACAATGCCTCATTCTTCTGTTTCCTGGGGGATCTTGTGGCTTTCACATTATGGTTACATTTCCTATCCACATTAGAGCGCGTGGAGAATTTTCTGTGTGATTCATCATTAATCCTGCCAGTGCTATGGCTCAGATGGAAACAAAGACTTTTCTTTCTCTCTCTTTCTCTCTTCTTTCTCTCTTTCTTTCTTTCTTTTTCTTTCTTTCTTTTCTTTCTTTCTTTCTTCTTTCTTTCTTTCTTTCTTTTCTTTCTTTCTTTTTCTTTCTTTCTTTCTTTCTTTCTTTCTTTCTTTCTTTCTTTCTTTCTTTCTTTCTTTTCTTTCTGTCTTTCTTTTTCTTTCTCTCTCTCTCTCTCTCTCTTTCTTTCTTTCTTTCCTTCTTTCCTTCTTCCAATTCCTGTTCACTAGTACTGTTAAAAATTGTTTTTGTACTCGATTCCAGAGTTGGTCTACAGGGAGGGAAAGAGGTACTTTTGGTGGGGGAGATGTGTTTTGTTTGTGCATGTGTAAGTGTGCACGCTGCATTTTGCTGTCTGCCTCAGACAACAAGGACTGGAGTGAGGGTTGCAGAAGATATTAGGTATTAATAATAGTAATATAACCTACTGATTATGCTTGGCAAAAAGCAGTGCAGTCTTAAGGGTACACCCATATACAGTAGTCATCCTTAGCTCAGGTTGGTGGGCTGTGGGGGTCAATTTAACTTAGTGGTTTTTTTTTTTTTTTTTAATTAATAGCAGCTGTTAAGTGTTAATGGGCTTGTGATCGTTTCCCTCAATCCTGTTGCAAAGTAGACAGCATAGATAGTGGGGCACTGCTGTCTTGTATCCTAAGAAACTTTTGATCACTACTGATGAAAAAATGAGAACTGTAAAGAGAGGAGTCAAACAGCGTTCCTGATTGTAGTGATTTGTAACAGCTCTATTTGCATTGGAATAGAAAAATGTCCTGAATTATATTCCAGAGAAACTTCCTGAGGAGTGTTAACATGTCARAAACTGTGCAGCACTGTCTCACCAACCCCCCATGCCCTTCTTTGCTTTCAAGAATGTGAGAGGATGAACCTTCTCCTTTCAGAGATCAGCAAGTCTCTTGAACAGCTGAACCCTCATCTGAAGGAAGGTGACTTTTTATTTAGAGAGTAGTGGTATTTTCTGTGTATTTKGGGGGTTTTAGATTTTTTTATATATATCCATGAAAGAGCAGCTATTCTTTATGATGTCAGTATGCTTTTTATTGGTCTTCAAACAAAAGGGAAGCTGATATTTTCTCCTCACCTAAAAATCCTGCAGTCAGCACTCTTCCAYGGTGCTCTGAAAGACACATAGGCTAAACTAGCACATCTATCTATGCATGGCCTTGCTATGCAGGTAAATGTGCTACAGTATCTATCAAGAATAATTTATTCCATTGAGCTACTATGTGAAGTTATTCTTTTGACCTAAAAATGGCAGCTTTGTTCCATTCACTGCCAAAAACTTGTCATATTCATGCAAATCAAGTTTCACTTTGAAGAGAATTTTRCAGAAATATTAAGCACTTTGCTGAAGTAAGGCTTTGTCACCTCCCTCTGCCCTAAGTGCTAGGGCTGTTCAGCATCTTACTGAACTCTTTTCCTCCTACCTTGTCTATACTTTGCTTAGCCTTATCTTGGAAATTTATGTGCACTACTGAAGATGCTTTGCATTTAAGAAGGAAAAAAGCAGTAAAAAGTGACCACTCTGCCAGACACACAGCCCCAGCTGTGAGTAGTCTGCAGTCACTGCCGTCCTCAGAAGGTCACACTGGTGAAAGCAGCTGTCCCATCCAGTATGTGCAGTATAATCATGAGCATCACATTTATCTTCACATTCATACAAAGCCAGTCTGCATGTTAGACTGTATGTTTAAACATAGCTTAAATAAACATATTTAACAACAAGCATCTGTTCAAAACCAAATAATGATGATGTAGCATTACAGAGTAATACCCTTTAAGCTGTGTGCCCACATTTATCACAGGAGTGAGGTGGGATATGCAACTGGGGACCCACAGCTGAAGCTCAGCTCAACAAACTACATCCATCCATGTCAGTCATTTTTCCAAGGGCTATTCCAGTGAAGCGAGAGGAAAATAAAATCATCTAGTACATACAATTAAGAGCAGAGGGCATACTTACATTTGGACTTYTAATTTGAAAAGCAAAGAGAAGCCAGCTATGTGGGTTCTGGCTGGAGCAGCAGGTTAGTACCAAGCCTACAAGAATGTGTGCTGCTTTGTCAGTCGGCCTTGTACTTAAAGCAAAAGGAGATAAACACTTCTCACCATGAGCTAGCACAGCTAGTTCACCTCACAAAAGCACATTCCTCAACAAAACACTATAATGTGTTCTATGCTATTTCCTTGTCCTTTAGTGTTGTGTGCAGGTATTCCTCCATATAATAATTATTGATCTGCAATGCAAATGATCTTGCAAATGTTTCTCTTGATTAATCTTTATTCTTTCTAAATAAAATGAAACATATCTTACATGAATTTTAACATAATCAGACTGCAATACAAACATGTTGCATTTAAACAGAGCTATCTGAAAACTTGGTTGTACATTTTAAAAGCAATATCCAAGCAAGAATTATATTTAAAAAAAAAGTCTGGAAATGTTTTGATTAAAACCAGATATGATTATTCTAAAATGGCTGGCTTGGGCAGCAGGTACACTGACATCAAAAAAAAAAATGCTGGTGAGCAATCCTTTTTCTTTACTGGGATGAATTTTCCTTTTTAATATAAAACTTCCTTTTTAATACAAAAAAAACCACTCTTCCACCTTCATGTTTCAGTGGTTAATTGCACTTTGGAATAAAGAAAAATAACATCCTTCCACTAGTAGGCTGCATTAGCTTTAGTAGAGTAGAATACAGTGGCATTCAGACGAAAGTGTCCTTTCTTTGCAGGGACAAGGCCCATGAACTACGGAGTGAAAGGACAGGTGCTGAAAGCAAGGATTGGAAAATTGAATCTTTATGCTCAAATCTGAGACAAGGGTTTGTTTGTTGTTTTAAAGAGGATGTATGATTTCTAGGTAGTTGTTAAAACACCCTTGCTGCATATTTTCACATTCACATAAATAAAAATATTGCTCAAATCTACAAGTCTCCATCATGCACCTGTGTGGCCATGTTAGAAGTTAACCACTCCAGATTCGAGAGTGCTACTGCACTCGATGTACAGGTCTGTGCATAAATGAACGTCCTGCATGTAGATTTCTCTACTGAGACGTTTTCCTGAGAGTTCTTCTGTGTAAGACCGATCAATAAAAAAGATTCTAAATGTAGAAATGCATATACTATACCCTACAAATCTATCTTATACAAAACATAGTAATAACCTTTAAAAGTCAAAACTTGTCTACATATTAACCGTTTGCAGGCACAGCTTGAGTTCAGTGTTCTCAGTTGGTATCTGCCAGTTGTTTTTGTAAACTAGAAGACACATGAGAAAACACAGTTAGTGCTTTTGGGAAACTCAAAAAAGAGTTATTTCCATTTTTGAAGATGAYAGTTTCCAAACCACCACCACTATAAGCCTGAGGCAATCAATATTGATTTCAAAACATGGAAGAACACTTCATTTTCTAAAATAAACTAGCTGTTTACTATGACTCACTTTGTGGGGGCTGATTTCAGCCTAGAAGTAATCTGAAGGACTTACATGCTCCAGGCCATTTAAGTCACAAGTATTATTTAAACAGATGTATATTTTAAAAATAAGCTAAAACAAGTATCATATTGGCTTAAAGTCTAAAAAGTGACTATTTCTTGTTAAAGTAAAACCACCTATGCTCCATGACCAGTGAGAATCCGATAGTGAAACACCTTTATAGACGGTTACCTGCTGTTAGAGACCAAGTCTCACAGTAGGTTCAATATCATACAGTAACTCAAGGGCTTTCTAAAGCTAGTTTAGAACGACAAGCTAAGAGAGACCCTCTATCACTAACTACATTTGAAAGGAACATTTCGAGAGCGCCCAACGCAGGCTCAGGTAGCGATTTCAGGGAGAGGCTGCGGCTCACGGGACGACACGAGCYAGAGCACTCACCTCTCCAGGTATTCCTTCACGTTGTCGTAGCCGCAGAACTTGGCCAGGTGAATGAGCATTCCCGTGGCGCAGCGACCGTCGCGSCGGCGGCAGTAGCTGCAGTTACAGATCCCGCGACACGGCGGACAGATCCACTCCTGAACGGGGAGGTAAGGACAAGTCGTGAGCACCTTTATGTTCTCCTTCATGTTCTCAAACAGGCAGGCCTGTGGCTTCCTTAACGCTTCATTATTCAGGGCAAGATTTTAAAAGCCAGAATCAGAAAGTCCACCAAACCTGTTACACTTCCAAATTTCTTAAGGATTAAAGAAATGTTTACGTTCTAGTCTGTTTGCCTGAATATTTCTTATTCCAAGAAGCAGGAGCTCTGTTCCAAGAGCAGTATTAGTCCTAACAATATATACCATCTTATAGTAAAAAAAACAAACACCATTTAGCACAGCTTTACGCTCATCAAAGCTTACTTAAAAAAAAAAAAAAAAAAAGTTCAGTATATTGTCCTTCCAGGCCAAAGAAACAATACTTACTGGATCCACCAGTGCTGACTTAACATCTTCACCGTATCGATTTCGAAGACAAGGGCCACAGAACTGTCCCCTCACACCTCCACAGCCCTGGTTACGACAGATTGTCTTTGTATCAATTGTCTTTTGTCGACACTGGTGGCAGGTACTACCCTGGAAATGCAAAGGAGAAATACATATTTATGAAAGGTATCTTAAAAGCTTGTTGTTGAAGTCTCCTACTACACTTTTCTCTGCTAAGAGCAAAGCAAACACTTCAATTCAAACTAAGCAATGTAAAAACTGCTAACAAAATTTAGCTGCTGTTATTATGATCAATTATATTGTATGTGGAGATAAGCTAGGGATTTTAGAGACAGTGCCTGTCCTCAATTGCTTTGGAGTCTCATAAACCACCTGAGCCTTATGTTCTGTTCCGTTCCCTTCCTTGCTCTGGGGGAAMAAGAGCTAAAACTAGTACGAAAATGAGCTTGTGACTCATCTCTGCAAGTATAATGAGGCATGAAATGTACAATAAGAAGCTCATCCAGATCTTTATGATCATTAATAATAGCCAAATCAGGTGAGGGAAAGGAAGAAGAGTTTCCAGAGTTTTGGAAACTAGCCAACCCTTACAAAAACGTCGTTTTGGGGATACAGGAAGCAGCAGGACTCAGTATTATTTAATGATACAACCACACCAACAGTTATTTATGTGATGTGAGAATGAAAGATAAATGGGACTGCAACTCTTACCAGTGGTGAGTCATAGCTATAYCCATTTACACGTAATAGCTCTGTGGCAGGAAAGACTGGGTCTCAGCAGAGCCCTGCAGAGCCAAAAAGGTTTGAGGGGAGAGAAGTGGTGCTGGTAGAAACCAGCTAGGACAAGCCCACAGAAGCCCAGCAAAGCCTTCAAGGTGTATTTGCACAGCGTGATAACGCTGGGCTGCGCCCTCAGGAACTCCAGGAAGGCAACACCTTATAGCAAGCACCACATGAACTCAAAAATACTTTAAAATGGATGGAAAGCATAAAGGAAATAACAGCCACTTACTGCAACTTTATCATAGATTTTGTCTTTAACAGTGATTGCAACGTTGTCCAGATCTTCCTCAGTAATATCCTCTACGGGGCGGCAGGACGAGTACTTTGACGACCTCCTCCTCTTGCGCACTCCACAATCCCCCTGCTAAACAAACTCATCTCAACACCTTTGTCTGGTGGCATGAGGACTGTCACCACACTCGGTGACAAATTCTTGCTTTTAGAATAGTTAGGCAGGCCAGGGGGGCAAACTACAGKCCCAGGGACCAATGGAAGAACAGAGATACAGCTAAGTTTCCATCAAAATCATCACCACCTCTTTCTCTCCATCTACTCTCAGCTCTTTCTCTACTGTGTTTATTATTTATTCTAGTTGTAGGTTCTTCCTTCCCATAACTATCTCCTTGCTACTTCTATTGCCACAACCCCTATCCTGTGTTAAACTACCTCCTCCTTCCCTGCACACCTCCACTACACYTCTTCACACTATATTTTATCTCCCTCAAAGTAAAGATCTACAACTGCCTGCTTTCCCCATGCTTTGCTCTTTCAGTCTCCTAGMATGCTCTCATGTGGCTTTTTCTAATGTCATTCTCTAGTATCATGCAAAAAAAAAGAAATTTTGGACTATGTCTGCCACACTGAGCCTTTTCTTATCATCCTTTTCCTTATAAAAAAAAATGCTTTTTTTTTCTCCTCCAAATATCTTTCTGTCTCTGATACAGAGATCACCCACACTTTCCAGCTTTCAAATTTCATGTACAAGTCTCATCTGATCTTTACGTTTCCTTCTACCCTACTCTTAGCCCCTGATTTGACCTCAGATCAGTTGTTTCTCTCCATTTATCAGACAATGTCTCCAATCACTGCTACTCTACTGTAGTGAAGCTCCCTCTGTAAAGCTTCAGCTATTTCCCATTAACAGGACTAGGACCCAACCTCAACAATGCACAGAAACAAATTTAAGAATCTTCCTCATAAAGASCACACAATAATCATACAAAAAGCATCACTGGCCAAAGGAGAGAAAAATTCAGGGGATGCAATTGAATGAATCTAAAGGAGATTAAAAAAAACTTTGCATGGCTGACCAGTGAATCAGCAGTTAGCTGGTACAGATTCCCTTAATCATCCAAAGTTCAGCTATATAAAATAACCTCTCTATCCTCCCTCCGCTGTCTCCAGAATAGGACTCTCGCTGGCTTCTTCCTTGACATGAAGAAAGAGCTCACCAGCCCCTGGCACTGCCACTGGCCTCACACAGTATTRGCTCTAACCATTTTCACATAATAAGCAAATGCTACAACACAGATAAACTGCCTTGTTATGTTTGGATAAAACTCAGTTCACAGAGTCTAGTCAATGGATGAAAAAGGAGACAAAAAGTCCTGCAAGATGATTTCTTCTGTAGCTACTACCAAAACATAGGTTCTCATCAACTTTCTGCAAAATGTGATGTCTGCTTTACATGTTGGACAAAAATTTAAATGAATGTTTTCTAATCACTGATTTCTGGAGATACTAAAGTTGGGCAAATACCACACTGAGTCTTTTCTTCAAGAGGTTTTGCTGTCTGTAGCTACGGAAATGCTCTGCAAATTTGGCAGCAGACACAGTAAATTTTTCCAAGGCAAATTTCTCTGGTGGACGAGCATTTCTGGTTGGGTTCATGCGACGCTCTATTTGGCCTTCAGTAAATGTCCTCCTTGGGATTTTCCTCTGTTTCTAGGGACAGATAAAATACAGAAAAGGAGAGAAAAAAACGGTAACAAATGTTTGTGGTGGTAAACACCAACAATTATCTTAAAATAGCTGCTTGACAATTACACAATTCTGGTTCAATTTGTTCTTCTTCCACACAATATTTGCTAAGCCAAACCTCAGTAATTTCTAGCATACTTAAGAATTTTTCCCTACATACGTTTTTGTTCCGTTAAGACCACCACATTCACAGTCTAATTCTTTACCAATCAACATCACTAAACAATACAAAAATTTCACAGGAGGCATTCTAGGGTGGAAGATTTCCCCCAGTGCTCTTCAGTAGCTCAAGATCTTYAGCAGTTCAGATTTGTCCAAAATTTGAATACACCTTCAAGGAGTTACTCAAGTTCTAAATTATTTTATTTGATATATTTAAACTGATAGGGCCATGCAAAGGCCATCCATATTCCCGGAAGGCACAAGGTATCCCTCCTCCTATCATCACATCCATCCACTGTGCATGACTGAATTCACACAAGAGTACTGCACGGCTACCTACCATAAAGGCACCTATAGAAATGTGACCATATTAAATCTGACAACATAAACAAGATGCAGAATGTAACTGTGCTACCATATTCTCCATTTCCTTAGAAAGAAATCGACTTTTCATATTACAAGGAGACATGCTGGAAGTCAAAAATCAAGCAGAAGAGCTCATTAGTGTATACCTGCATTGCTCACCCTTCTTCAAATAAATATATTAAATAAAAATAACATGTATAAATTAAAAGAATATTTAATATTCTATAGCAAGCATTTAACAACAGCTAGCAAGGTTTCAGCCTTTTAAAGACTATATAATTTGTTTCTACACGACAATTAAGATAGAAACAGTTTTACAACATAGTTTTAATAAAGGTATGACTATCTCAAGTAWCTTCAGTTCACAACACTTATGGATTAATACTATTCTAAGGTGATCCTATGCAGGCTGTGAGTACTCAGCTTCAAATCAAGAAAAGCTGCTCAATAACTACAGTATCACTCCAGTTTTTATGTTGGGCTGGTTGAATTTTGTCTTCATAACTGTAACGGGAAATAGRGATTTTATAAGAAAAACAAATGAGAGAGAAATTAACAGGATTTGAACACAAAGGAAAGCAACTACTCATCTGTTAACTCCCTCACTCTCACATACACAGACATCTGTCTAGCATCTCAGAAGCCATTCTCGGGCAAAAGTGATAAAGTAGCATCTGATCTTGCTCTATATCTCAATAAAAAGTATCCTATAAATCTCCATTATCATAAAAATGTTGGTACTTAAAATACTGGTGAATAGCAAGTCCATTCAATGACCAAAATTGAATAAAACTAGAACAAATTTGGTAAAGATGTTTCATCAGTAAACATGATAGTAAAAAGTTAAGCAAAAATATCTGTCATCAGTAGTGTGTCATAGAGACTTACCGAGGGAGTTGAGGTGGGTGTTTTCACTGGAAATAAGTCAGGTATTGAATTCAGTTCTGCTAGTAGCTGGGCAAGCTGAAATGAACAGTAATATTGTATTGAAAACTCACTGCAAACTTCAAAATACTCGATACACATCATCCACTCGCATGCGCTCTGAATTATTTCTGAATACATTAACTCTCAGTTCATGAAACCGTTCTCTAGTCACTTCACTTAAATAAGACTCACTTGGCTTGTAATTTGCAGTGATCTCCGGCAATGAAGACAAGGAGCTKCCTTTTCTTCCAGCCCCAAAACTGCTCCTTATTTCACAAATGCTGTAAATCCCCATAAACAATGTGATCCCCCCCCYCAATGGGATTGGGGTTCCCAATCAACAAATTCTGACTGCCTTGGGTTCCCTCTAGGTGCATGCACACACAGGGACACCTGCACACTCATCTGCAAAGTCCTCTGCTCAGGTCATTTCCCCAGACACGGTGTAGGCAGCATCACAGCAATTTGGCAGGAAGATTCTGCTGTACTACATGGGAGACCCAAACACATATTTGCCTCTTAAGAGAAAGTGACTGACAGGTCCAAAACAACATGGCTCATTTTGAAAGCCCAGGATGAGGCTCCCTTCAGAAGAACCAGCAATAGCAGAGGTGAACCTGGCTAGCAGTTGTCTTGCAGAGCGCCACAGCAACCATGAAATTAAAAGCTGGATACAGCATTTCTCAGTTCACTGTGGCACTTAAAGATATATTTAATCACTTAACAGTACTGTAATAGGATGCTAATGAATTTCACAGTGGCTAAAGTGGAAGGAAGGCTGGAAGGTTAGAAGGAACAGCAGCAAGAACAGCATGGCAGCAGTGTGAAAACAAGACAGATTAGAAATAAATACACAACTAAAGCAAGTTTTAGGAACTGCAAGTCAATATAACTAAAACTGAAGGACCAAATCAGGACTCAAAACTGAAGTTGGGCTTGCACAGCAGTGTAACAGAGAGAGAGCTGGGGGAATTCTGGACAACAGATTGAAAAGATACTAAGTGATGATCAGAGTTTTTCTCTCCTCCCTTAGGTATACAAACCTCAACTAGCTATATAGTGAAGTGTTATTGTGAACATCACATCTAACAAAAATGAAAAGTTTTATGTACAATCCTTATTTGTTGTTAGCAGTATTTTGAAATTYGTAACTACAATATATCTTTCAGCCACAAATGGCAATTAGAAATGCTATTGTGTAGATGACATTAAGAACCACACAAGGGGTCTTTTTTTTTTTTTTTTTGGCATGTTATGAATATAAGTAAGACTTGGGTATCTGTATTCACAACCACATACAAAATGTTTGACTTTAATTCTTTTTTTTCAAACTTGAGCTGGTTGGTTCTACCTGAGGCTTTTTAGATTTTTATTTTAGAGGCACTCATCTGAGTGCTGACAGTCTTCTGCAGTGTTCCTAGCGGAAGAATTCACCCCAAATCACTATGAGGTTTTCCTGAAAATCGCAGCACATCATCCATAAAGACCCCAAAATTCAAGACTGCTGTAGCTAAGTATTCACATGCAGACACCAGAAACAAAATATTCCCCCTAAATCTTACCATGGCTTTATTTTCTTTAATATTCATAGCTCTCTTAAGCAGAGCACTGGAATTTTCTTCATTTGTTTCTTTAATGTCTTCTTCAGATTCTGAAGCAGAGCCCTCTAGTTTGTGCCATCGTTTGGGACTTCTTTCTTTGGAAAGAGGTGCGAGGTCTTTATTGTCCTTAAAAGGCAGCTTAGAAAAAGCTGGTTCAGGCACTTTTTTCTCAGAAGACTTTCTGGTGGGAAACTGAAAGGCAACACGAAGACCAAAGCTCCTTCTCTTGGGGGAAACTTTCTTCTTCTCCTCTTCCTCCTCTTCTTCCTCGCTACCCAATAAATTACCACGTTCTTCATCACTCAATTCTGACTCTGCTGTCTGCAGGGCAGAAATAATTTCACATTATATTATCAACTGTCACACAAGTAGAAGTCATATTTCAATCACTAGTTCTAGACAGTAATCTTGCCTAGCACTGTCAGTCCTTTATACTACAAGGATGGGGAGATGCCCTCACTTCCAATACAACATACCATGTTMAATTAAGTTTTCCTTTTCAGACAGTATATATTTTTCTTCAGCATGAATAACGAACATCTTAGTTCATCAAAAACTAGACTATTAGAATATGATGTTTACACAAAAGAGACAGGGAAAAATAAAAGTCAACATATAGATTCAGAGGTGGGCACATGCACAGGTGGTACAGTAATACTGTTACCTTTACCAGAACTCTGTTTTTGTTCACATCCACCTCACTTGAAGCAAAGCCTTCGAAAACTTCAGTTTCGGAGTCTGTGTCTTCAGTGAAAATCCTCTGCAGCTCTTCAGTAAGGTATCTGGGCTGAAGCTGGACATCCTGTGGAAACACCAACCAGGAGCTGTGAGAGACTGATAAGTTGTCGTGCACAGCCAAAATAAAAACATCTCTTCTTCCCCACTACCCAGTGAGATAAATTACCTTATTTTTTTGTAAACTACCAGGAAGTCTTTTGGTTTGTTTCTTCTGGATATGGGAGAAAGAAAATAAAAAAGGAAATCCATATACAAATCACAGTAAGAAAGAGTCTTCCTTTTTAAAATTAAACATGGAAACAAATTTCTTCTCTGAGCTTTCTGCAGAAGCACTAATAGCTCTTGGAGATSGAGTCTGTTCACTTTTACATACTGTTCTGAAGTAAAAGACACCAACACAAAACAAAAGAGCTTCAAACATGTGAATTAAAAACCTTCTACTCAAGATGCGCTCAAATTCTCTGCTTAAGTGTTGTGGTTTATCTTTTTATCATTCAAAGATATTCTAGGCTAGACAGATATCAATCTTCTGTCACATAGGCTAGTAAGAAAAAAAGAAAAAAAAAAAAAGTAATTCCATGAAAAAAATCAGTCTCATCAAAACACTTTTCAGGGCACACACATTGCATACCAATATGGCATAAATACAGTGTTTGCTTCACAAAAACAATGCATTTACTAAATCAGAAATTCATTTCCATACTTTTAATCTGAATCAGTATTCGATCATCTGTCTAATTGTCTCTAGTAGTCCTCTGAAAGACTTGTTAATGGCAGTAACATACATGTCAATACCACACCTGCCTTTTGAAAGTCAGTTACATTTACTTAAGATAAGTTTGTTTCCCCAATTTTCCTATGCTATTTCTTCCTCCCACGCAAGATATAGAAGTGACCTTTCAAAGGAGGCACTTGCTAAATATCTTTATTCCTCCTTTCAATTTCCTCCCTTTTCTGACTTTAATTACAGACTTCTTTACGTTAAGATAATATCTGCTGCAAAACAGATACAATAGATGAGTGGAAAAACTTACAGGGGAATGGGAGGGGGAGCTATTGCATATGCTGTTTCTTTGCACTTAAAACATCTACAAATTATTATGGGTAATTGCAATGAGTTTTCTCTAGGCAAAATTACTTTATTCTTTTGTTGATAGCTGCAGTGCAGCTGCTTGAGAAAGGAACAAACACAATAGGGAAGTTACTTTAAAGTTAAATTGCATTTCTTGGAGGGAAACTGAAATTTTTATGCATTTTATGTTTTCATAAAATTTCGCTGATGGTTTTGGAGGGGGGTGGGAAATGTAACCTGTTCCTTAGCTAAAGTGACTGAAAGCAGCAAGCCCAGAGCTGTGCCGTGCTGCACCTACAGGGAACGCTCTGCACATGGCAGAGCTATCACCAAGACCCTGGGGATTTGTAGGGGAAACCTCTGAAACCTGGACACCAGTGTGGCAATTGCAGGGACAGCACTGCAGGAGGCCCTGAAGAGAGAGAGACGTGCGGAAGTTCACGCTTGTAGAAGCACTTGTATATCCACACCCAGGGAAAAACTGCGGTACCTTTTTGTCCCCAGTAACACGCCCAATAAAACAAGTGCCTGRCTTTCTAATCACTGCATTTTTTTTTCTTAATTTCCCATCATTTTGCTCTTTCACACAAAAACCTTTTGTTTTCCTGCAGAACAAGGACCCATGGTCTTTCAAAGCAACAGTTTTACCTGGCATCATATAGGAGGGGACCCAGGGAAAAAAAGGTGGTCTTTACCACATAGAGGCAAATGAGTTCAAGCCAATTCTGSTGGAAAGATAAAATAATTCATACCTGAGGGACATACAGAAATGTTAAGGCAGGCTCTCTGTGTCAGCTRTAAGGTCTGAACAACTTTCACTTGTGGGCAGGAAACACTGCAGCTTTCCCAGCACCACATACTAACCAACAGCATCTAGCTCTTACAGAGCATTCTTCACCAGAGGATTTAAGACACTGATGAAATGCAGAAGAGACCATCATCAGCCCTTGCTGATGTGGTCTGATCACAGACTGCAGGTCTATTCAAAAAATAATGAATAAATGAGGCTTCCACATTGTGTACAGGACTTAGGACTTGGTAAGTAAATGATACCACAAGTCTCATTCTGCTTGTTTCCTTTACTAACATTAATCATCTTCCTCGTCTTCATCAGCTCTTTACCAGGTAGTGACCTGGTGGGCTAAAAAGGTAAAGTCATTTTCAACTTGGTTATCAACAGACTGGCAAACATTAGCTAGGACATACCTGACACAGACACCACTTGGCACATCAGCCCCTCTCTCTCTCAATAGTTCATAAGCTCCAAAAGGATGGAAGAGTAAATTTTATGAAAGCTAAAACAGAATAGCATTTCTTCCTCTAACCAATGCAAAAAAAAAAAAAATCATAAAAATACTAAGTCATTATTGGCTATTACATTAATACCAGAATCAGTAAATCTCAAAATTAGTGTATCAGAATTAGCAAATCTCAAAATTAGAGTTAAGAGTTAATGCTTTTTGTGGGTCACCACCACTAAAACAGCAATTTTAATGCAGAAACAGCAATAGGTGGGTATGACTTTCTCAGAGAAATACAGCCTGTCCAACTGCAGGGATTCTCACAAAAACCACCTATGGTCACGCATTTCTCCTCAGGCTGCTGTATCCGCTGCAGGCTACCACTGGAAGATTATTCTCCCTCCCTATTAAAGAGTTACAGATACCTATTTTACTTAATCTCACCTTCTAATGAAACTCATTTTCCTTTCTATATTATGAAAATGTCTTAAAAAGTAATCAAACCTTAAAAAGGATAGGAAGTTCATTTATATGTAAGGACTGCAGTTTCTGGGGTTTTGTGGCGAATTACGGCATGTGCAGCCTTGAGATAGGCTCAAAGAAATATTACCGTACTAAATGCACTCAACTGAGCCACGGAAATCTGCTCCTACCTTTTTGCCTRATTCCAGGGAATCAAAACTACCACATCCGTCCTCTGATAACAATGTCTGTACAGGAGCAGCGTTCTGGAAACCCATAAAATCTTCATCATCACTGGGGGCAATAAAAATGTCAGCCACTTCTTTGGGTATCTGCTTCCAATTCAAAATGAGACAGCAGATAAAGTCAGACATGACAGCTTATTAGGAAATCTTAAATGGGCAATGGTACAATTTCATTTATTTTTACACTTTTATTCAAGTAGATCTAAGTATTATGAAATATTCTGTGCAGTAAGACTGCATCTTATTTAGCTAAATTCCAGGAAATTCTGTGCAGACTGTTTTAATTCCTAAATATGGACTCCCAGATTGGAGACTAGAGAGACGATATAAAATGCAGATGTTTAATCCACATTAAGCAGTGCATCTCTCTGACATAAGAATACGCACAAGCCTAATCTTCACAGGAATATSTCATTTTCTTTTGTCAGTAATTATGCAGCACTTACTTTGAGACACTTATTTTGATAAGCACTTACGGCAACATGTATTTTGGTCAGAGAGCAAGAACCTGCTTTACGAAGAAGACTTCTTGCTTCCTAGAAGCCCAAGATTTAGTCAGCCAGGAAGCTCTGCCRCTGGCAGAGGGTGGCACTTTCGGAAGTGACCAAGTTCATGACTGATGAGTTCAAGAGGTTCAGTCTCAATAGCAAAGGAAACTTTTATCACCAGATCTAACAATTTCCCACTGCCAGGTACTCGGTCGGGCACTCCAGAAAAGCCCAATGTAACAGGAGAGCCAGGAAGCCTCCAGGCAGCTCTGACCCAGGACTCTGTGGAAGAACAGGATGAACAGACCCAACCCTAGAAAAATGGGGCAGGAGGTATTTTGCACAGCTTGCTTAAGGCCCATTTCCTACCCTACACTTCAGAATACCTTTTTTATGCTTATTAATGCCATTTGTAAAACTATTTTGCCATTTACAGTAATGCTCAGGGAGACAATGTCTGTGTGAAGTGCTCACCAGGGACCAAACACTTATATTCTGCATCCATGGGGCATACATTTCATGCATACTCCTTACATTTAAATAAGAGCCTCCCTCGATGCATGCTGTACACTAAGGCTGCAAGTAGATTTTCCACTGCTCTGATTAAATCTCAGAAATATACATGCAAGACTGCAAAGGAGAGGACCCTTCTTCCAAAAGAGAAGGTCCCACAGAATGGCAAAAATCAAAAGAACATCCCCAAGATGAACTCAGGAATTGAGARCAGCCTGGACTTGCCCACTGTCACAGAGAGCCAAGGTGCTCCTACAGGGCCTCACACAGTAATTTTTTCTTGCATTTTTTTTGTGCCAAGACAAACATGCCACAGGCAGATCATTCTCCTCCAAAATTAACATTCCTGTTAAAACACCATTTCTGTTAGAACAAGAAGCAGCGCCCTGACCCAAACCTCACTCCCTGACATACGTCACAGGAATACATGGGCTTAATTTCTTGCTTAAATTCCTTCTCCACTGTTACAGAACGAATGTAAACAGAGTCAAAACTGATTTACAACGGCTTGAGCAAGAGCAGAATTCATCTGTAAAGAGAAGATCCTTGCAGGCAAATCTCAGCCCCATGCAATCCTGCTGATGCAGGAGTCATGCATCCATATGAGAAACCTTTTGGACATTCCCTGTCTCCACCTCTGTAAGGGARCAGCCAGAGTCCCACCCCATCCCCAGGAAGGGATGCACTCGGGACAGAGCAGAGCTAAAAACGAAGCATTTAGCATCCGAATGCTGTAATGGAAAAGACAAAACAAACAAACAAAATGTACACGGAGCTGCAGGCCTTGTTGGTGTGAATAAATTGCTTTGAGGAGTCACTGCATTAGTTCTTGTGCTATTGTACAGCTGAGCTGGCCACTGCTGTGATTACTGTGTACCTAAATAATTTCTTCTTTTGCATCTTCACCAGAGGGGCCACTATGGGAGTGTAATTACTCATTCTGAACAAAGAAAGAAAATACTTTCCCCATAGAAAACTTTTTTTTTTTTTTGCTCTTTACCAAATATTGAGGTACCAACTAAGTAACTTACTGCAGAACTTCAAAGATTTTCAGTTTGTGATCTGCTCCCCACAGTCTGATTATCAAGAGTTTTATTCAGTGGTTCAGGAGTCCCTATTCCACCTCTGTCTTAACACTTGATACATGTTTGGTACAGACATACTCCAGGTGTTCAAAAAGGGCACCCTCATAATGTATATTATATCTTAGCACAACAAGCTAAGATATATTAAGATATATTGTCTGTCTCCTTTAAATGTTTGACCGAAGTCTCAGCTATGTCCTCCAAATGCTGCCAGATGTAAAGCAAAAAATCCTAAATGTATTAACAGCTTCTTAACAGAAGACTAATCAAATTAAGACTCATGCTCCTAAAACACCTGGTCCCCATATAAATCAAGAAACATGATCAACGCAAGTCTGGTTTCAAGCCACCCTCAAAAGCAAACAGGATGTGAGTTTAAGAATAATTCTGTCTCTTTGCATGTGCGCATGCTTTTGGCTTCAAGTACAATTCCTAATTCCCTGCCAAAAGCAATGTGCTTAGATGCTCACCTAACGAAGCTTTTGTTAACTCTGCAAAGCAGTCTTGACTGCAGGTTTGTCCAGGAACACGCAGGCAGCTGATGTGCCCCAAACCTGAGGTGCACACACAGCCTAAGCAACACACATCTTTACACGGCCTCTGTGACCCACCTATTGCCACGATTTCTATACAAGAAATCTACTGCCAGCATGAGTCCCTTGCCATCAGCACGCAGGTAGGCATCAAAAGTGAGACAGCTCCAAAAGCTTTTCCTAGGACACACCCCTATTTTCCTTGTGTTTTCCATCCATGTATGTATTTGCTTAAACATATCTGTTAAAATAGTAATCTATTTTAAGCAGTTCAAAGAAGCAGGCACTTCAGCAGAGGGTCTTTTTGCTACTATACTCCCTTGAGAAAAAAAATAAAGACAGAGAGGCCAGAAAGGTCTGAACACTTGAACTGAACACTTCAAGTTTGAYTGAAGAAAGTATTTCAATGCGAAAAAGAACCAAGTTCAGATGAAACAGAAGTCTGCACAAACACTGCAGAGATGTGCAAAATACTGCCTTTAAAGATCCTAGCTCAAAAAAAAGTAAAATATCAAAAATCTAGAAAAAAGCTGGGAACAATTCATAGATGCTGAAAAAGTTTAAACATTGTTTCTTGTAGGCAACTTTTTAATACCTCTTAACTTAAGTTATTCCTGCACATAAACTAATTATTTGCTGAAATAGCCAGAAGTTACTTTTCAAAAGTACAAGAAAGGGTTCCTTGCTACAAACAGCACACAACCCAACATCTCTCAGAATGACCGTGTCCAAACGCGGTGAAAAACTTTCACCAAAAGATTTGGTGAAATACATCCTCTGCTCTTCCCCCTTCTCTAAATTAGAAGCAATAAACCATGGCCACCATCTCCCAGAAGCACATCAAAAATAGGCAGGCTGAAGAGAATCACTGCTCTAGTGAAACGGAGAGCGTTTAGTTCCTTTGCCCCCATGCAAATGGACAGACCTGTGGCCAAAAACAAAGTCTGTGGAGACAGAAAACGAGACTGGGAGACACTCTAAAAACCGTTGGGTGACAGTCCAGCACCAGACGCTAACACAGCTGAAGCCTCCAGCAAAAAAACATTTTTTTTTAACTGCCTTGCCCACAGATTTCACCCATCTCATTAAGCAAGAAGCAAAAGAAAAGCCTTAGGCGACATTTTTTACAATTTCATATCAACAGTAAGAATCCTTGCGTCTCAAACACGCAAAAGCAACCTCATTGATACAAAACAGACATAACATCAGAACTACAAGCAACTTCCTCTTCTGCCTGTCAGTGCTCTGCCAGGCTGAACAAAGAGAAGGCTTGCATGCACACCCGCCGGCTTGGTGGAACTCACAAAAACCAAGTTGTTGTACTCGTCAACCATCTCCACAAATACGTCAACCATTTTAAATATTGCCTTCATTGCCAATTATTCCATCCCAGCATGTTCTTCTGTAGCAACACACAACCAGGAGAATGTAAAGTAGGAGAAAGCAGGAGGAAAAGTAATTCTCTATCTTGATGAAATAAAATCAAGTGAAATGTCCCGCCTTCATTCAAGTTTATATAACACGTATATAACACGTATATAACACGTATATATTGGCTCCTATTTTAAGCCAAGGACAACTAATTTCAGTAGTGCTCAAACCTTCTATTTACTAATTTCAGTCAGACTGAAATAAACCAAGCTTAATCTCAAATGAATATTCATACAAACAAAATTTGTTTAAAACCACATCTTCAAACAGTGCTGTGGAGACCTCCTGACATGTTTTGGGCTCGGTGTGCAGACAAGCGCACTGCGATGCTACCCCAGGCTCGCAAGCACCATACTCAGCCAGCATCCCTCAAACAGCAGTCAAAGAGGGAAGCTGATCCAGGTTGACAGTTATCACCAGCATGACAAGAGCACAGCCAGGGCCCTGGTGTGTGCTAAAAAACAAACAAAAAGGCATCATCACATGATTTCAGCAGAAATTTGAGTAATACTTTGATTCCATCAGAGGTGAAGATCCCTCTGCCTGTCCATTTGTCACTCCTGGGACTCTCAGGGTGGTTCATCTTCAAAACCCACCGGTCTTCAAAACCCGCCTGGATGCCACCCTGTGCCACATGCTCTAGGTGTGCCTGCTTGAGCAGGAAGGTTGGACTAGATGATCTCTAGAGGTCCCTTCCTACCTTGAATATTCTGYGATTCTGTGATTCTATGATCTTTCCATGAAAACTTTTGGTCACTTTCATCCTAGTCAACTAAATGCAAGCATTCCATGAAATTTTAGTAAATTAGCTAAGTTCAGAATAGTTCTACACTGCTTCACTTCAGGTAGTAATAAGGAGCATATGGACTGCCAGTGTCCACGCTTTGGGGCTCCAAAGCTAAACTAATCAGCACCCCTCCATCAAACCCCATGTACTGGAACTGCTGTACACAAATTCTTCATATGGGACCCCAGGATGAGAGACAGAATAACTGCTAGACTTGCAGCTCAGAGTAGCTTTGTATTAGTGACTTATTTGGCAGTCACTTGCCATGGGGCCGTGCCGTGACTTACAAACT